GACGCCATCTTGAAATAGGCATCCCAGGAAACCTTGCAAAACTATAGAAACCAAGTTAAAATAGGTTACAGTGAAGACGTGCTGACAGACGGATCAGCCTGAGACGAATTTTGCTCCATAATTCGTCTTAGTACCGAATTTATATTTAGACGAGTTATCCGTCTGAGACGGATGATTCGTCTCTGACGGATAACTCGTCTCTAGTATAAATTCGGCCAATGACGATGGATCAAGATTTCCCGAGAAAAATAACCCACTCCAGACACAGCGATCGCTCTGGCGAAAGGGTTAACGCTCGAAACGTCGGCTGTTTTACTCTTTACGGTGGCCAGTTTACGTTTTCAACTCAGTTGTTAACACTAAATTACCTGCTATACTCTCCCACCAACGCAGCACCACAGTTTCTTTTGAAACTTACCCCCTTTATTCACCTTTTCATTTATCTCGATCGTTCAGTGGAGCGTTGAGGAGGAAAACACAAAAATGAGCAAAGTTGCCAAAGGCAAAGGAAAAACCTACGGCAAAAATGTAAAAACCGGAAAATTTGCAACGGAGCAAACAATGAATCGACAGACAGCTTTCAAAATTACGATTCGAGGCGATTGTTAATGTTTTTTATCAAAGCTGGTACTTGCATAAGGAAAAGGAAACCTCGTTTTTTATCATTATGTATGGCAAAGTTTGGTTTGACGGCGACCTTTTTGTTCGAAACCTGCACTGTAAAGGAACCTTAGACGATTATCGATAAACTAAAAAGAAAAGCAATTACTGACAATTTCAATTGCTGATTTATTACGAAAGCAACTTACATTAAAAAAAGGAAAAACCCTGAAAACGCACACGAATGATCATGGCCTCAGGTCCAGGCCTTTTGAAGATCTCTAGCAAAAGAGCACAACTGTCACAATCAAAGAACCCACGACAGTGTTGAACAGTGTGGGAAGCACGGCCGATACTCCGGCCTCAACGTCTACGTCCCATCCGGGTTCAGTGTACCCCAGCTCTTTCCTCTGTTCCACCATCCACTTGCGGAGAGGCTCAAAGTATTCCGACAGAGCGCCAACATCCAGTGTTTCACTTCTGGTCAGTTTTTTGAGGGCTTCCGGCCAAGGCTTGCTTTTCCCTATCTTCAGCATATCCCTATAGATTAAAGGAGAGAAACACCATTCAATACAAAACGTTAATTGCTTTCTTCATGTGCGGGCTATGAAATTCAGATTTATAGTTATTAATAATGGTAATAATAACAATAATAATAATAATAATAATAATAATA